GACCATATACAGGTTTTCACAAGTTCCCCAAGGAGCAAAGAATAATATTGGATGCCACTTTATTAAGTAAAATCTGGTACACAGACTATAATCAAAAGCAACTGTTTAATATTAAATAGAAGAGTTGTTACACAGATTGCTAATTAACCTCCAGTATTTATTTCTCTCTTCCTGCATGGATTTGGACATTTAGCTGGGCACTCGATTACCCGATCTCCGTTGGGACCCTGTGGGCTGGATCTAATGAGGTATCTCCTATACAATAGGAGACTCAGTTGGGTGGCCTTAAAGGTAATGGAACACCACCCACCATTCTTCTCTCCCTGCTGCTGCCTGGAATTTGGAGATAATATCCAGAGCTTAAACTGCCACTTGGGATCGCAAGGTGAATGAAGAGTAAACACTGAGGATGGTCAAGCTGGAGGATGGAAGAAGCCTGACTTTTCATGGAGCCCCCGGACACCTTCAGGGCCCGACTTCCCCCTGTTCCATCACCGTCTCTGTCACTCAGAGCTGAACCTAACTCAAACAAACACCTCTTTTTTGGTACTATACTTAACAACAGGATGCTAAGTATCACAGAACCTACAAAGTTTCTGGAATTGCCCGCGTTAGGGACCAAGCCCTGAAGCCTGGGGTATTACAGGCTCGGAAAGCTGGGGCCTTTGTTGTTTGGTCATCCTCTCGCCTGCTGCTCCTTGGAAGACAAACCAGGTGCCAACTGAGACTTCTGACGTTAGGCGATGCTCAAATGCTGATGTGCGCCGGCTCCTCCTTGCTGCATGCAGCAAGGTATTCAAGAGAGTAATGAACTCAGTCTAGAACTAGCCAGCCTGCAGGCTGAGATAAAAGTGAAACCAGTTGGAAATAGAGGGTGTTCTCTGATTATTTCGGCAACCTGAATTGACAGAGAATCCCCGATTTATGAGCTTTAAAAGGTAAACCAAAAGTAGTGCCCTAAATGAAAACACACTAGTTATAAGCCATAGCTGCCAAGAGATAGCCCGAGAAGGACGAAAAGCTATGGTCTAAGATGTCTTTTTTAATTACCTCTGGTAAAAGTAAAGCTGAAACAAATGCAGGGAGGGAAGAGAGTTGAAGAAACAGACTTCTCATCTATTAGGTACAAGAGCTTATTCAAAATCATGTATTAGCTTAGCACTAGCCTGGCAAGAGATAGAAGTACTTTTAAGTTTCATCACCTTTCTGCTTCGCTCGGCCAGATCCCGCTGAATTCCACCCCGAAGTCCAACTGAACCTGCCTTTGGATCTTTCTCAAACATTGTTTCCACATATAGCATTAACCACATCTAAGGTCTGTCTGGAAAAAGTCCAGCCATTTTAATAGAATGAGAACGGTTTGCACAACATCGATGTACCTTGGCAGCCGGGGAGAGTGGGCCGGAATGAGCAGCTGTGAACAATGACAACTTCGCTGTACCAGTCAGTGGGGACGATAGATGCTGTTGAGTGAGCATGTGCACTGTGTGGCCGTCACATTCAAAATGACTGAGCGAGTAGTGCAATGAATCTGCATCCAATTTTTCTGTTAAGCTTGAACATTCCTCTGTGGGAACTATTCGGATGATTCAGAGGCAGCAGCTCTGGGCAGCTGGTGATTGGCAGCCTCATCGCAACAACACACCTGCTCGTGCATCACATCTTGTGCAGAGATTTTTGGTGAAACACCAAATCACCCAGGTGACTCAGTCCCCTACAGCCCAGATTTGGTGCCCTGTAACTTCTGGCTTTCTCCCAAAACTAAAATCACCTTTGAAAGGGAAGAGATTTTGGACCATCGATGAGATTCAGGAAAATGCAATAGGGTGGCTGATAGCGACTGGGAGAACTGCCTGAGGTCCCAAGGTGCCTACTCTGAAGGAGACTGAGGCATCGTTGTCCTAGGTACAAGGTATCTTGTATCTTCTTCAATAAATGCCTCTAGTTTTCATAGCACACAGCTGGATATTTTCTGGATGGACCTACATAACCAGGGAAGCACGGAGACTGTTTGTTGACAGTTTTCTCAATGGCAGATCAGCAGCCCAAGAGGGAGGAAATATGCTCTGGACTGCTGGGTTTGAAAACCTAAATCTGTAAAGTAAATAGCAATCTACAAAGCCCTCATCTCTTATAAACGCTATGCCATAAATTGGTGGTTATAGCTGTTTGCTTACTCATCCAGCTGGAAATAGATCCAAATGGACCTTAGACATTCCGCTAGCTCATCCATGGCCAAAGATACCGCCCTGTCATCTGGATGGGTGGGAATTACCAATTGCTCTCTAACTGACCATTGTGACCCATCGCCTAGGATGACAATAAAAACTGTTGGCCAGAAGCCCATCATATTAAATATGTCTTTGAAGGAAAACCTGTTGGGCTATTGGGCTGTGCTTGTTCTCACATCAGTAAGGCATCTTGTCTGATTTTCATCCACACATCAAATACTTATTAAAAGCCTTTTTAAACTTAGGTAAGTTTAATTTCTGAGAAATACTGTGGATGAACACAGAAGCAGAGGTCTAGGTCAGGACTTTTGTCTCTGAGTTGCCTCTCAACATCACGTCGGGACACAGTGGGAGAGATGCCTTGGTCGGGGGACAGAGGGCTTGCGCTCAGGTTCTGCCTACAAACTCAGTGGCCAAGTCACGAGAGCTCCTAGGGCTTCTATGGCTTCTTTTAGAGAAAAGGGAACCCAATGCTCGCCTTCCCCATTTTTCAGAATGTATTAATTCATTCATAAATATTTATTCATCATCTACTATATTGTAGGGATTTTTCTAGGACCTTGGGGGATACAGTAGGGAATAAGACATCCACATAAGATAAATGCTGTCAAGTAGACTTATTCTAATAATTAGAAAAATATGTAAGTATAGTAATATGTAAGCTTTTTAATATAAGCAAACATACACGTGAATATTAATAGCTATATTTCCAGAGGCAAATATGTGTATAAGAAGTTTAAACCACAGTCCTTTCTAATGCAGTGTATTTGTTTCAATTTCACATTGCGTGATTTAAAATGAGATGGGCAATAACCTAATGAAAGATATATTGATCTAAACAGCAAGCCTAGCACTTTAAAGATGTCTCTATTTCATTGACAAAAAAATTATTTTCTGCCAGGATGCATTCTTTAATATAGAAGATATGCTAAGTTTACACTACAATACCGTTTTACAGTCAGTCAAATTTATCACTAAGAGAATCTTCCTTTTTGTTCATCTTTTCATTACTTAATAATCAAGATATATGTCGGTAGTCTCCAAGATGGTCCCAACCGCTCCTGTCTCCTTGTGCCATCCCCCTGCTGGAGTGTGGGCTGGACTCAGTGACTCATGTCTAACAAGCTGTGTGTAACCACAGTGGCGGATAGTATTTACCACACTGAACTATAAGAAAACTTAGGTTTACATCTTGGAAACTCTCTCTTGCTTATGCCTTTCCTCTCCCTTCCCCTTCCCATCTCTCTCTTCTTCCTCCCTCCTCAGCACCCTGATTCAGTCCAGTCACCGACAGGACAGGCCACATGGCGAAGAGAGATCCTAAAGGACCAGAGCCACACGGAGGAGAACGAAGACTCCCCAGTCGATAACCAGCTGCAACTGTCAGGCAAGAGAGTGTACCTCCGTGGAAGCAGGACCTCCGACTTGTCAAGGTTTCACTTGATACAGCCACACACAGTGGTGTGGGGATGACTTCCAGCCAGGCCATTCCTGAGTCCGTGATCTCCAGCAATTGGGAGATCATCGTGCTTGCTGCTGGAAGTCATTACGTTTTGGGGTAATCGGTTGCACAGTAATAGGTGACAAATATATTTGGCTGGCCAAAAAGTTATTTTAATTCTTTCCACACAACGGCTCTAGTAGTGCTTAGTTGTCTTTAATTTCAGTTGAAACAATTTTGTTAGGGAATAAAAAAAAAAAAAAAAAAAAAAAAAAAAAGGTTGTATTGTGGCAGCTGTCATATCAGCATGCATTTAAAAAAAAACTTTATCAAAACTGCTAAATTTTTATTCAGCTCTTTAAACATAGAAAATGGAAGAAAATATGCAATATTTTTGGCATGTTATGCTTTATTATTTGTTCAAAAGGTAATAACTGCAAAAAAAAAGATTTGTGCAGTGTATGGAGAAAGTGCTGTGACTGATCAAACATGTCAAAAGTGGTTTGTGAAGTTTCTTGGTACTATCGACCAACTTACTCTTTGCTGTGGGTTGTGTTATGCATTGGAAGATGTTTAGCAGCACCCCTGGCCTTTCTCTACTAGAAGCCAGCAGCAGAAGACAGCCAACATACTCAAAATACCCAAATCAATGAAGTTGCTGGTGAAAATGAAAAATGTGTCTTTTTATTTTATAGGAAACAGTAATTGGACTTTTTAAAATTGTCGTTCAAGTACAGTTGTATCCATTTGCTCCCCACCACTACCCCCTGCCCACCCATCCTCACCTCCCATCCCTGAACCTACCCCGTTTGGCTTTGTCTATGGGTCCTTTATATATGTTCCTTGATGACCCTTCCCTTTCTTCCCCCGTTACCTCCCTGCCCCCTCCCCTCAATTACTATTAGTTTGTTCTTTATTTCAATGTCTCTGGTTATATTTTGCTTGCTTGTTTGTTAAGTTCCACTTACAGCTGAGATCATATGGTATTTGTCTTTCACCACCTGGCTTATTTCACTCAGCATAATGCTCTTTGGCCAACCTAATACAATCCAAGGACTGTTCTAAGAATGACAAGATTCAGAACTTCATGCTTTACACCTCGAATATTTCAACTAGACTAGAAGAATACAGTGATATCATTGTGGTACCTTCATCACGTAGAAACAAATTTGCCATGCTCTTTGGACTATTCAATGGATCAGGACTGTTTTCTTCCTGAGATCTACTGCATCCATGACATCAAATATAAATACTTCATAATCAAGCTTGATTGAAAGTCTGTGGTTAGCAATGTAGTAAGTAACTGATATAAAAAATGGTGATCTTACCTCCGAAGAAGTACTTCTCGCCAGTTTTAACTTGGAGAGGACTATTTGTTCGAACCGCTGACGCCTCGTCTCCGTCAATGGTGAGAACAGCAAAATTTTCCTTGGCTAGGAAACGAACCTCGTGCCACTGTCCATCATTCAAGCCAGAGCCTGTGAAGTGCAAAATAAAAGTGAATTTGCTTCCTTCCGATGGCTTGGTTTAAGACCACATTTAATATTGACAAAGTCAGAACTTTATAAGTAAAGACTAATATATTTTCATCGGAGAAAATTATGTGCTACTGACTACTGATCTCTCATGTTTTTTTAATGTCTTAAGTGGCTTTAGTCTCCACTGAACCAAATCAGAAATAATTACAACCCAATCTAAGGAGATAAGATTAACGTGCCATTGGGTACTTGGGAGAATGAATGAAGTAAATAAAGTTGTTTGGAAGATACTGATGAACTATTTTAATTTAATAACTTATTTTTTTGGTTAGCTTTACTAGACTCTAATATAAGAAAATGGATTTATGACTTTTGTCTAATGCCCTTTTTTATAAAAGTTTTTGTATTGTTAAATTTTTTCAATAAACACATTTGAAAAGTATAGTTTATAGAAATTAAGTTTTAAAAAATAGATGTGTCAGTATGTATAGTTATCTGTGCTGACCACTATGAAGAAGCATTGGAAACAATGCCAGGATTATATGATCATTTACTAATAAGGTATCTTTATAATGAAGTAGATTATATTTATGAAATAAAAATATAAATCAACAACTCCCACCCCTAACCATCACCTTTCACTGTTGCCCAGTACCAAGATCTTGGGAAACAAAAATTCTCCCAAGCGTTCTGTTACAGGGACTATAAAGTTTCTCTTTCATATGTGTTCATTTTATGAGGAATAATTAGAAAATTAAGTCACATATAGAGAATAGTCATTGAACATAAATATCTGGGAAGAGTCTAACAAACACTAAGAGACAGAGAAGTCTTTGAGGGTCCAAGTGACTTCTTCCGACCTCCCACAGTTCTACGCTATGTCAAAGGAGGAGATTCTGTTTTCGTTGGCTCCAGAGAGAATACTCTAGAATCCACAGGTAGAAGTTACTTGAAGATACACTTTAGCTTCACAACAGAAAGAAGCCCAGCAAGTAAAGGTCTCAGAAGTGGATGGAGAGTGAATCAGCAGAATGCTGCGGCTGGCTCCCAGACTCTCTGCTCAGGGGCCTTGCAAACAGAAGATTTCGCACAGCCTGGGAACTAAAAGTAGTTCTCGTGTTTCTATACAATTAGCTTTCAGATTTTAGTGTCCACGTGAGGTTTTATTGGCATACGGACCAGCTCATATGCTGATGCACTGTCAGAAGCAGAACAGAGTCAACAGCGGCTTTGGAAACCATTTCACTGGCAGCCCTGAAACCGTGAACACTTCCTATGGGGTCCTTTACAGAAAGACCGTAAGCTAGTGGTTGTTTTAGACCATTAAACAGACATACCACTTTAAGAAAAAGTGAAGGCCTGTTGGAGCTTAGAAGACAGTCACCCACAGGTACTGTTTACTGATATTACACTGGTAAATGTCCTTACAAATAATCACCTCTCAGGTATTCATTTCAGGACTTTGAAATTTTGATTTAGTATTACATACTTGAGTATATTTTATTTCAATGAAGCAAAACAGAAAATCCCCACCCTAAAGTAATTAATAGTAAATGATTCCAAAACTATGAAGTATATAGTACATATAAATACATAGAAAAATACACATTTTGGTACTGGAATTACTATGCAAATGCAAACCTTATTCTGAAACCGAAATCAGTTAGCTGTCTGACCAGTAGTCGTGTTTAGTGAAATACTCTCTTCTCACGCAGGTTTGCTTTGGGTTCCCTAATGGAACTGATGTGCAGAAGACTGCATATTTTCTGTAGCATTTTCCTTTCAAGGGAAAACTAGGACTGACCAGAAAAGTACATGGATTTGATTTATTTATTTATTGCCTCCACAATGTGAGGAACTCTACTTTGATATTCATTTGGGGGCAAGGATTCCAGGGACATGAATGTTACACATGTTCATTCCCAAAATTTAATCTTAATAATCACACACCCAGATCAAGTAAGTCCCTGGTAAGATATTTTCAGCTGGCAGTGTCTTGTTCTAAGTGGTAGACCAGAAAGCCTTACTAAAAATCCCTGTGAAAATCTTTTCTTCACAAAAGGAATTTATGAATAAAGAGCATCAGCTTAATTGTTCGTGAACAAATGTTTATTCTTCCAATCAGATTAAAATAAAAAGGTTACTCTATTTTCTTTGAGGAACTTAATTACTAGAGACATTGGACCTCAGACAAGCCGCCTTTTTGATAGCAACCACTGCGATGTGTGAGTTTGAACTGTGATTTCTATTCATTTTAGTTCCAATTATTATTTTGAACTTTTATTATTAATCATCAAGAGGCAAGCCTTAACAATCTATGATAGGAATGGCCCCCAAATATATATCAAATGAAGTTAATTCTTCAGTGGGGCAAGAATGATCTTATTGCTCAAAAGAAGATATGGTGCTTCTTTGAATTTTTCTTCATCTGTATGGTATAAAAAATAATACCCTGAAGGTTCTCTCTGGAGAAGAATCTAATTTTATGATCTCTGTATATGTGAGTATTTACAGATACACTGTTCTAAATAAGCTTTATATGGTGGTCACTCTGCCAAGGATGTTACTTGCATTTGACTCACTTACAATACCCAGAAAATAAGTATACATACAATTTTTTCCTCTAATAAGTAGGTGAGAAAACAATCTAATAAATGTGTAAGCCAAATGTGGCTAATAAATAGCAGAACTTAGAACTGGAACTCAGCTATGTCTGGGTCCAGAGGCTGAATTCTTACACAAAACAAACACTAACCAAACATGTGAAATCACCTCTGTGCTTCCATGGTCAGGGTTCTCTTACACTAGGCACACACGCACACACACTCATTTCTATCTGCCACCACCACTGAACAGGAGCTCAGTTTCCGGGGGTGTTCTCAACTCATGCAGTACCAGGGTCATAAATACAGAGGTGCCACCAAGGTCCAGCATTTGAGCTTTTGTACCGGAGCATCCCACATACCACAGGTCTTTTCACTATTTTCTTACATTGATTTGTGTTCTTAAAATTCTGACTCAAATGGGAATTTGATACAACAGGCTTGAGAAGCAAATTCTAGCAGTTTCCCCAGGGCACATTAGCATGAGCTCAGGAGTGTTCATGAAAGTCACCTCTTTGTATTTCAGGACTCTGGGTAAAGAAACTCTGTCCACTCTTTTCACTTTACAATGAGTGGATCAGTGCTCCTGAACATGCTGTCTTGTTGTTCGTTTGTAGAGCTAAGACCCTCAGCGACACCTTTTGACACTCAAAGAGCAGTTTTCCCCATTGTTCGGAGCTCAGCTGTCAAAATTTATAGTGAGAAAAAAGACGGTGCCAAAGTTTCAGCCTATTGCACCCGAGTGTTCACTCTCTCCAGTGCGAGGGAGGCCAGAGCAACTGTGTAGGCAGCGCCGACTACAGTAATAATACATGACCTCCCCTGCAGACGGACTCCCTAATGTGGTTTCCTTTGATCACTTCCCAGATCATCTGCCATTAGGTTGCCTCTTGTGCTCCCCACACCAATCAGCTGCCATTAGGAAGAAACAGAATCAGTTTTGGTTCAGAGAAGCTAAAAGGCATCTCTTCCTTAAAGCATTTTTAAAATTGACAATATTATTAAATCATTTTTATTTCACACCAAATGAAACATTAATGTCATCGAAGGGCTTTGGAACGCACCACCACATGGAATTCAGTCAGATTACCACAGCCGATCAGATCATTGATATAAGAGATAAACTTACAATAAATACCAATACATTTATTCAGGAAAAATGTACTATCACCCTAAGTTTTATTAGGGATAACGAAGACCACAGATCACAAAGAACACATCACTAGGACTAAAACAGCACTTCTCATTTGCTGTTAAAGAGGTGTTATTCCTCCGCTCACTATTCCACGGCACATGCATGTCCCAGGGAAGGGAGACACCCACCAGAGACCCACACCTGTGACAGAGGGTTCTCGATGACTGAGCAGTGGATCAGGACCAGCCTGATTTAAAAAAAAAACACACACGCAGATTCTTGAATTTAGAAAAGAGACCCAGGTCTCATATGCCTCAAATTCCCTGTGCATCTTGCATGTGCCTGGCGTCGTCGACACACACTGCATGCGTCGCTGCCCTGCCTGCCTCTTAACACTGAGCGGTGAGGTCACTGAAAGATGGAAATGAGGCTGGAGATCAGACGGCTGCCTCTGCCTCAGGAGCCGGGCGCTGTTTGCTCCTGCCCTTGATAACCTGTTAACCCCTCCGTGCCTCAGGCTCCTCTTCTCTAAAGTGCAAGTCACGGTATCCACTTTACAGGTGTCTTCAGAAGAACAGATAAATAGGGTTTGTAACAGCACTGGAATGGAGCCTGGCCACTAGAAAGCAGTATATCTATATCATTAGCTCAAAAAATAAAGGCGCTTTGATTGATCACATTTTACAGAACAGGAAACTGAGACTCGAGTTGAGGACTTTTTCTCTGGGGGTTACTAACCTCACGATTACAAACATTGGCGTGTTTGTTATCAACAGCCTTCTCAACAAGACAGTAGTGTAACATGTCTCAACCCTGTGGACACTATGCATACACACATCTGACCACTGGAAAAAACAACGTGTCCTAATGTTACGTTAACGAGCACTTGAGGTTTAAGAAAACATGTCTAGGGACAGCAGGACACTCGGGAAAGAATCCCTGTATTCCAACAACTCAGGTGAAGATGATTTGCTCTGAAAACGTGTGCCCAATGTGTTACAAGGTTATGATGGACACTGATGTTTAAGCCGTATATAAAGAAATTAGAACAAAATCATTACCCAGAGGTGAGAGGGGAACATAAACTTTCTGAAGTCTTTATGTGCATAATTTTAAAAGCACATACTGATTAACTAAATACTATAGGCATGTTCACCTATAGCACTAAAAGTTAAATAGGCAAGTTCGTCAAAAGGTGCTGTTCATTGCCTCGCTGGGAAAATGGGGGGTTGCCATGTCTTTGGGGTGATAGTCTCCTCAGG